CCTCTGCACAACTTCACCCCATGCTCTCACCACTGCAGGAGTGCCTGACTCACTATCTGTTTTTCCTCTCTGTCCATATGGCCAATGGACCTCAAGAAACAAAGTTTTATTACAGCATATTTGACCTGCAACTCACTGACCGAGTGCCTGTACATAATCAGGAAGCCATTTAGCAGGCATTTTCCAGGGTACAGCAATATTTGGAAGTGGTAACTACTGAATTAATAAGACTACTTCTGCAGTTGTAACCTTTAAATCTGTAACTGTAGTATTTTTACTCAGGCAATAGACTGAAGTGATGGAGAAGCAAACAAATCAATGATTATTCTTGGTGTCACTTCTCAATGTATATTCATATCTTTTTACAAGGATAACTGTTTTATGTGAGCAGAGTGCAGACTATTCTCCAAGCAGCATTAGCGTCAGCACTATATTTAGATAGGGTTTTTAAGTGGAAATGCGTTCTGTTTTATCCTTATGTGTTCCTCTGATCTTATTAGCATCTCTATCTGTGAAAAAAAAATTCCTGCACTGAACTAATTGTGTTATTAATAACCTAACACGGCTTTTTAAGGAAGGATGTGCATTTATTCCTGAAAGAAATCAAACTGCAGAATTGTCAATAATATATACACAAAGTTTATCATCTGTAAGTACAAACATATAAGAACAGATTTCTTTCAACGAAACACAGTTATAAAATTTGCTATATCCTCCTTTTTGAAATGTATTTCAAAAAATGTATTTGAAATTTATTTCAACTTTTATGTAAGTAAATCAACTGTAATGCATACTGTTATTAATGTAAAATGAAGTTTACCATCAGCTGATGTCTAAACTATATAAATCAGCAGTGAAGACTTATTTCCATCCCTATTTTTATTTGTCACTCTTCTTTGTTGCTTAATTCTGATTTTTGTCTATTTGTTTATCATTGTAGGTGGCTGAATTTTGTAATGAGCATAATCAGAACAGAGAAGCACCCAATCTGCAGAGTCGAATGTGTGACTACAGAAGCACATGGGAAACTGTACAGATCTTGAAAATAATCTATTCTTTAGCTTTATAATGAAATAATAGATGACTTTGCTAAGAAATTAGCATTTCCTTGAGTTAAAACACAGTACAAAAAAGCATCTTAACTTCAGACTGCAGTCTTCTCAAACAATTTTAACATACGATCAAAACCAGAGGAGCTGCACAGATTGCCTATCAGAGAAGAATTTTCCTGTTATTCTTATATTCTAGATAAATGAATCTAGAAAGCATAAATAAATACGACCATTTTTGTTTTATGCTAATTTATGCCATTTTTATAGCTAGGTTCTGGTATTGTTAAGAATGATAGGATCTATTCCAAGTACTTGTTTGCTCTCCCTGAGAATGGCAGATACAGCCTGAAAGTTTACATCCAAGCTAACAGAATTATCGTGCCACAAACTGGAACGCCATGGAGTCATGCCATGTCTTTACCAGGTCATATAGAAAACGGTACAGCAAAGTAAGGCGGAGAAAATTATACAGCTGTTTATTCCAGCGCTGTATACATCAAGTCCCTTCATAAATACTAAGAGTAGGCACTAGAGCAATGACAGCCCAGATAAGAGGTATTTAGTTTTGAACACTTTTCAAACACTGTGTGTGGTTGTTTCCACCAGACAAGAAAAGTCTGTATTCCCCAGAAGAACATGTAAAGCAGACTGTAAACAGCTATAATAGAGCAGTATCTGTGTACTACAGATAGACAGGATTTGTGTTTTGCCTGTGAAAAGAATAACTGCAGGTTTATCAACTAGAGTACTATAATCAGTCATCTTAAATTAAGAACTGTTGACGTTTTAGTACATTAAACTCTCCTGTAATTATTTTGTAACAAGTGACAGTTACTTCAATTTCATATTAGCTTTCTTAGTAATTAGCACTCTTGAAACTGTAAAGAAATAGCTATTGCACTAGAAATTATTGTACTTAATTGAGGTTAATGGATTTTTCAGATTTAAAACCATATAAATGAGGTGAAGTTCAGGCCACCTGCATACTACAAGAATATGCATATAATTTACCAGCATTTTTTAAAGCTTGAGGTAAAATCAAGATGAACCCATCAAGACCCTCAGCTATTAAAAATGATACTCATATCAGAAGAGAAGGTTTCCATAGAACAGCTGCAGAAAGCGCCTTCATGGCGTCTGCAATTCCAATGGGGCCTTATGTGATGTGTTTCCACCTTGTAGAATTATTCATCTTGATGCCAGAATAGAAGATGGTAAGGTCATTTTATCACGGACTGCCCCCAGGAAATGATTTTGATGAAGGCCAAGATATGGTTTTGGCTTGCAATCCTGCCTCCTGCCCAAGGTGAAATTGCAAAATGAATACATTTTCTGTGGGCATTTAAAGTGAGCTCCGAACATTTATCAACAGTATTTTGTTACATCTGGAAACACCTGTACAAGCGCCAGCTCAATTTTTGTCTGTACTTTGTAGCAGAAACTGAAGACTCAACATTTCTAATTCTTCATCATTAATCAAATTTTTCTTAACTATAAATGGCTTAAATGTGCTATTCTAGTAATTCAGTGTGATAGACATCGCACAATGCAAGATCTGTAATAGAGTTTAGTCTAACTGACACCAGTGGGAATTTTGTGCAGTGGTTCCAGGGCTTTATTCTTGCTCTCCTCTTGCAAAGATTTTAAATGGAATTATCCAATAAGTTTTTATAAAGAGCTTCTTGGAATTTTGATGGAAGGCTCACTTTCACTGTGTTGTAGTATTTTGCTACTCATGGAAGAGAGACATATACTCTCTGAATGTAAGGAAATAGTGGAAAGAAACATCAAATTTGGACAAGAAGTAGGAATTTTACTTCACTTAGTGCAAGGTCAAATTCAGTGAAGTCAGAAATACTGAGAGACTTCAGTGTGGGTTCATGATGACTGCCATCATCTATTCATTTCAGTGCTATGCTGTGAGAAATTTAATCATTCAAGCACTCAGTTTAGGTAATAAAATAAGATTTTTGCAGATCTACCCACCATGCTGCATTTATTTTTCCCGGTAGCCGAACTAACTAATGAAACCGATAGTAAGTAAGTAGTATTTTGAAAGTATTTTGAAAAGAAATTATTTTAAGAGAGATCAAAAGTTTGAATGATAGCTAATACACATGACAATATCTTCTAATATTTGTATTTTCAGCTGCAAGTTATGAAATCAGAACAAATGAGACTCCTCTGGAACTAGGAGGCAACTTTTATAGCACTGCTTTTGTGAATACTTCCCCTCTATCACCTGAGCGTGCTGGCTGCAAAGGTAAGTTAAAAAGTTGCGCTAACTAGTAGCGTGGAGGTGTTTAAAAAGGAATTGGTCGTTACTGTTTCCGAGGCTTCAGTGACTGCTAAAGACAAAATGAAAACAATCATTATTTCATATGGATATGAACAAAAAAACCCAAACCCACATACAGAAGAATTTAGCTAATTTTTCTGTCCAATATTTCAGAAAAAGTGGAATGATGTAATTTCATACTATGACTATCAGGATTATTTTTTGATACACTAGGAAAACAGATAGAGGTAAATCTTCAACCTGAAGTACTTTTAAATGCATATGCCTGAATAAATTTCACACAGTAATTTTAAAAGAATTGCATAAGACCTTCAGCAGCAGTTTACTGTCTCGGTTATTAATGACTCTTCCAGTATCACCAGGAAGACATAGTATTTTTTAAAAAGGCAGAGGGGATGACCTGCAAAATTATTGGAAAATCTGCTAACATCTGTTCCACAAAAATAATAGGAAAGCTGATACAGAATTAAATCAATAATGAATTAAAGGATGAAAATATAATCAGTGTCAATCTACCTCATTTATTCCATTTCTATTATTTTTAATACAATTATGAATTTAACTAACAATGTAGCTATATCATGAGATATTTGTGAACTGATTACTGTGTGATAGTCCAATTCAAAATATAGTACTATATTGGATTAACCAAGCACCTCCTGAACAAATTAGGAACTACCTAGCTGGGAGATCTCAAAAAGTAGCTGGTAGGGAATCATCATCTAATAGACATTTCTCAAAGGATTGCAAATCAGTGACAGGCGTGATGCTATTAAATACTTTATCAAGGAGTTAGAATAAAATATAAAGTCACTTCTGGACAAGTTTCTTTGAGTATGAAGTGAGAAATGAGGAGGAGGAAGGAATAGGACAGCCACACAGAGTAATCTGGCTTGCGTGACAAACTGCTCCCACTCAAGAAAAGCACATTTTATTCCAAATGGGATGGTTATTCATCTAAAGGCAAACAATGCCATTTAAAAGGGGCGATTTTACATACTAAATATTGTATACAGAACTTATCAGCATTTTACTATCTCACTGACCTAATCTTGCTTTTTCTATTGTTTCAATTCCGTATTACATAATTATTGCATTGTTCACAATTTTTTTCCAGGAAATTCCAATTGTGTTTTTGCAATTATTTGTCTCTTCTAAAATGAATAACGGAGCATAGATCACCTGAAGAGGCATAAGGAAATGAAATTTTTTTTTTTAGTTCACAATACAACATCAAGTATTTCCTCCTAAAATTAACACATAACTAAATGCAGCCAACATATCTGATATAACTGTACTTCCATGGAACATCAGTGTCTTGTTGCAAACTGTTACACCTCTTTTTGACACAAAGACAGTGTTAGGAGCAAAAAGCAGGTGCGAATCCCTCAGGGACAGGCACAACACTCAGCGAGTGAAAGCTTTGGCTTTATGGAAAGTGTAGCATTACCACAGTGGGAGCCCCAGGACACCGATGCTAATCAAAATGGGGATCCGACGCAGCAGAGCCCTGCTTGGGAGTGAAGCTCAAGGGAAAGCACCACAGGGTTTGGTAATAAAACTTGCACTGATTAACATATCATACATATGCAATACCCTGTTTGGCTCATTAACGAACTTGCTGATGTAATGCAGGTCCTGTTATCTGAATGGCGATATCTGCAGCTGGCCGTCATGTTGGCGGCTGTGCAATGGGAGGGAAGCGAATGACCCCTGGTTACTGTCACAATGAGATAAGACATGCTTGGGACTCTACATACTCGGATGAGAAGAATCAAACCATCCCAGGCTGCTGTAACAAGAAGATAAGATGCGCTTGGGACTCTACATACTCAGATGGGGGAGGCGAACTATCCTGAGTTACTGTAACGAAGTCTTCTCGCACCCTACAGGCGGTCATATAAATGACTGATAAGCCATCACTTTTCTAACCAAGTACCTTGCAGATAGAAACAAGTAACGGGGGTCTTTAGGAGTTTGATGTTTCTGCTGTCTTTTCAGCTCCTGCATGTGGCAAAAGGTTCTATGGTATGGCTAAATAAGAATGGCTATGAGGATTTGGTTGTTGCAATTAATCCCCAGGTGCCAGAAGATGCCAACATCATCCTGAACATAACGGTAAGAACATTTGCATTTACATGCATTATTTCTCAGCAGTTGTGACTTGAGTTTTCTGCTTGGAAAGTAGCATGAATCAGGTCCAGCTCCCATTCTTGTCAATAGGTTTTTTTCTTGTTGTTTTGAATTAATCATGGATTAATCCCATAGTTACTAAACTAGTAATTTCTAATTTGTCTTGCCATCTGTTGTCACTACTAAGAGCGCTAATTCCCTCAGACAATGCTGTAATATCTCTGTTGAGAGGAAGACTGAAATTCCTTTAAGTAGCTTTCCAAATTATGTTTACCTGAAAGAATGTCCTAAGAATACTTGTTTAATAGCCATTGATTATACCACTGTTTGTCATTAGCTAGTATGTCTCATAAAGTTCCTTTAAAAATCGCAAAGGAAAAAACCAAAAGGTTAGGTTTAGTAGCATTTCTGGGCTTAACTTACTGCAATCCATGTAAATGCCTCAGGGGATAAATTCCCCTAGAACAGGATGCTGGCCAGGTCTCAAAGCACAGAAATTGTTTTCTACAAATTCAAATCATTTTAGAGAAA